TCAAGCTCAATGCGTATTTCAAGAAACGTTTGAATTGTGTAAGAACAATCGGCAGCTTCAGCAATTAGCAAAATACTTTTTAGGAACACTGTTCAGGATTCTGCCCACAAAATGCAATAAAGCAAGTAATTAGTGAAGTTACCAAAATTTTCGTTTAACAATGCGGTGTTTTATTTAGTTTCGAAATAACCATGGAAACCAGAGAAAATGAAATTTCCTTGAAAAAAAACTTCCGTAAAAAATGAAAAAAAATAGCAGATTCTGAGGTGAATAAGCTTTTCATAAAAAAATTTTATTTTCAGGAACATGGAAAGTACAGAAATAGTGGAAAAAACAAAAAAAAACAAACAGAAAGAAAACGATGAGGCAAAGATAGACAAATGAAAAAAGCATAGGAAAAGTCAAAGTTCTAGGACAAAAAGAAGGACCAGTCATAGAATTGTCCAGTGATTGGTTTTCCCGGGCTAAACCCGGAAAATAGCAAGCGAACTAATCAGTGGGAGAGAAATAAGTGAAATTCAAAACCTCCTGTAAGAAAATCTTCATTCCGTCAAATGTTCCTTAGAGTCAGAAAGGGATGGAAATCTGTTTGTTTATGTGAATTCGATCTTATTAAAAGCAATCTACTCGAGTTTATTCCCATAAGAATGCGCTTTGATTTCGCGCTCTCCCAAGAGTCAATAAGCTTACAGTCAATTTACTTCATTTAAATATTTCTTCGTCATAAACTGTTCAATTTCTTCCACTGTTCTTGGCAAATCCTTACTCAAGCACTCATTTCCACTGGCCCAAATGACCACATCATCTTCGATTCGCACCTGAAACAGTTCGTTTAATTAGTGGTACACTCAGCTTTTGCAAAAATCGGACAGAATTATCCAAAATTTGACACTGTCAATACATAAAAGGTTAAATATGTAATTTCTAAAATTTTAAACAAACTCAGCTTGCGTCTCCAGTAACCCTTTTGTTCTGCGAAACTTTTAACCTGTTTCTTGCCCTGTTTAGCTTTTAAATTTTTTTTCAAAAGCCGCTACCTGCAGGCAAGGTTGCTAGCAGATTCCTTTTCGGGGAATTCACGATCTCCATGCATTTTCAAACATTTTGATCTCAATGAAATTAATTTAACGAAGTGGTTTCAAAAAACTTACCCCGCCGAACCCTCTGTATTCATTTAGCTTCTCTTCGACAATAAATTTCTTCTGTTCCGGATTATTCAAAGCTGCATCAAGAAGCTGAAAAAAGTTTAAAGTTAGATGTCTTGAGAAAAAACAACTCTGTATTCTCGTTTCGATAATGAACTGGGCTGGAATGGGTCAGGCCTGCCAGTGTGATCATATGTTTTTGACTAGATTTGAAGAAATCAGTCCTTTGATCAAGCGCTAACCCAGAAGCGCGGTACTAACTTACACACACGCCTAATCCCTGCGCGCGAGCAAGCGAAAGTTTTGGCGAGAAGATTTTTGACTCGGGGAAAGGAAAAGCGGGAAAAAAGAGATTTTAAGGAGATGCCCCTGCTCACGCACAGCTTAATTCAGTCCCACGTATGCGTAGTTCTCAAGTACGGGCATGTGGAAATTGTGCCGGACTTTGGGTGAAAGGATATCCAGAGCAGCAGCAAAAAGAGACCATTTGACTTCGAATAGTAAGTCAGTTAGAATAAAATTCAAATTTTCAGGCTTACAGTATTGATAAAATAACATCCCGGTTCAATTGTAATTACCATTCTTTCTTGCAAAGTTCGTGTTGTGCGCAGCGATTTTAATCCTAACAAATCGGATCTTGGCTCAGCATCCTGTAAATTGACAAGTTTCCACAGTTGATTCCCGAAATCATGGATATATTTTAAGTGCTCATGTTTATCCGTAGACATAGTGCATTGGAAGAATCGAGAGTTCAACTTCACCAACGGAATTACCAATCTCCTTTACGACTCGTTTGTTCGTTTCGATGGTAAACTGATATTGGCGTTTGCCGGGAAAGGCGAACTCTGTCATCAGTTTGCATGTAAATAATTCTTCGAAAGAAGGAGCTATCGACAGTCTTGCCAACGGGTAGTAGCTACTAGTATTTGTTACGACTGGAACTACTGCGATTTAAAAATAATAGCAGCCCAAACAAAATTAACCCCAAGATAACCACCGCAATCGTGCACATCAAGACCCATAAAATGCCCCAGCCCATGCGGCATAAAAATCGAGCCCATTCGTGCTTTCATCATCTCTTCCACATCGCCCTTCAGTAAGCCAGCATCACGTAAGTGCGTAAGAATGATTCGTTCTGCCAGAAGATGCATTTCAGTCCAACGAACACCTGAAAATTAAATTTTGTCAATTGTGATTTTTAAAAAATCTTTAGAATATAGTTATTCAAAACCGTATTGATATTTTATTCATTTTGTCGCGAAAGTTTGGCGAAAAGCCCGCAAGGATTGCATACTGCATAATGGACGTAGCATTACAGCATGTGTAGGGGCCGCGTACATACAGAATGTAGGCGCTCCAGAGCGGAGTACAACTGGCGATAGTGTGAAGGATAGATAGCAATTTATCCGAATGTGAAGAGTAGTGGTTCGATTCCCTCTCGGTCTATAGCCATTCTCAAAATGAACTCCGTTCGGTTCCGATTTTATCGTTTTTAATAAAATTTTATTTCTTTCTTATTTAACTAAACTAATATTATGACCCTGGACCATACGGTGCTGCACGGACCTCCACAGCCACAAAAACACACC